CTGACTCATGCTCCTCACACAGCTGAGCTTCATCAGAAACACGACTGGAGGGGCCAGGCTCTTCATCAAGCCGTGAGTCCTGTAATTCATCAGAGCCTCCCTCTGACCCTGACGGCCCCTCAAAGGCCTCCTCCACCTCCTCCTCAGATTCCTCAGACTCAGCTGTTGGGAACACAGGCTGGCACGGAATCACAACACCTTCCAGCTCTGTTATTCCTGATTAGGGAATCAAACATGTTAACGTGAAAGACCCCTAACAATTCTCCCTTTTCTTCCTCCAGCTCAGTGCTCCATTGCCGTCTTCATCCTCCTCCTCTTCACACGCTTCTGGCTGATCAGCGCCCTCTATGCTGCCTGGTGGGCGTTCGACTGGGACACCCCGAGCAAAGGTGGGCGGCGCTCCCACTGGATGCGGAATTCGGTCGTCTGGCGATACGTGAAAGATTATTTCCCGATCTCGGTACGTGTCCCTCTATAGGGTTTCCTGCCTGAGCAGGGGGTTGGACTAGATTACCTCAAAGGTCCCTTCCAGCTCTATTATTCTATTCTATTCTGTTCTGTTCTGTTCTGTTCTGTTCTGTTCTATTTCTATTCCAATCCATATTTTCTATTCTATTCTATTCTATTCTATTCTATTCTATTCTATTCTGTTCTGTTCTGTTCTGTTCTGTTCTGTTCTGTTCTATTCCTTATTCTTGCTTAGAATAAGGCTGAGGAATTCTGGGAGTTGAAGTCCACAAGTCATAAAAGGGCCAAGTTTGAATGCCATAAACAAAGAAGTAGTTGGTGATAGCAGCCTTGACCTTAATTAGCTTTTCAGTACAGGCAAAGGAGCCAGGTGCCGCCCCCTGGAGGCACAGTATGAAAAAAAAATCAGGAGTCTGGATGTCGTTTCTCCAGAGTAGGAAATTGTACAAATCAACAAAACAAACAACAATAGCTGCAAGGACCAATCCAGGCAGTTGTGAAGAGCCGAGACTGACCTGGAGTGACAAATCAATAGAAAGTTATGCTCATGAAACGTTTTGCTATTGGATACAGTAAATCGGGGTTTTTCAAACTTGGCAACTTTAAGACTTGTGGACTTCAACTCCCAGAATTCCTGAGAAAGCATGGGGGAACTATGGCCCCTTCATGACTCGTGGACTTCAACTCCCAGAATTCCTGAGCCAGCATGGGGGAACTATGGCCCCTTCATGACTTGTGGACTTCAACTCCCAGAATTCCTGAGCCAGCACGGGGGAACTATGGCCCCTTCATGACTTGCGGACTTCAACTCCCAGAATTCCTCAGCCAGCATGGGGGAACTATGGCCAGCATGCCTGGCTGAGGAATTCTGGGAGTTCAAGTCCACAAGTCTTAAAGTTGCCAAGTTTGACGACCCCTGCAGTAAAAGTTTAATTTCTCATGCTTGCAATAGACCTAGACTTAAAACAGTTAATTTAGTGTCCGTTCGAAGTTACAACGGCACTGAAAAAAAAAGTGAAGATCATTTTTCACACTTATGACCGTTGCAGCCTCCCCATGGTCACGTGATCCAAATTCAGAACCTTGGCAACTGACTCACAGTTATGACCACTGCACTGTCCCAGGGATCACCTGATTCTTTTTTTGTGACCTTCTGACAGGGAAAGCCAAGGGGGAAAATCAGATTTTTTTTTATATCGACTCTCCAAAACTGATGTGGGAATCATATACCCAGTTAATATAACCACAAATGTTGCATAAATGATTGGTCATTGTGTGCTTCCTTCTCTTTTAAAGAGAATTTAAGAGTGGGGAAGAGTTGACGTGGTTAGCCGAATTGTAGTGTTTTTTTTTTACTTTTGCAATCAAATCTAGAAGATGGCATCTTCCTGTCAACACAACCCAGGTTGTGCCCACTTGACCGGGTTCAAAAGCCTCTTTGTGGCTGTGGGAAGAGAGATTGCCAAGGGGTCGTTTTCTCATGCAATTATCTTTCTTTGACGTGGTTCTTTGGCCTACAGCCAAACGTGTTGCAGGCTTTTGAAATACAACAAAGAGCTTTGTGTGTGGCCTGGGGTTTAAGGAGGAAGATTGTACACACCAGAAAAAAATGCTCAACAGTAGCAACTGTGAGAGGGATCTCAGAGTCCTAGTGGACAATCACTAACCAAAGAGAGAAGCAACCTAGAACTAAGGAGAAATTTCCTGACCGAACAATTAATCAATAGAACAATTTGCTTCCAGAAGCGGTGA